CCCAATAGTACGCCGTCACCCATTTGAACTCATTGTTGCTGATTACTTGAGCATGACTGCGGGCAAAGGCGGTTTTTCTGAAATAGCTCTTTTTATTGACACATTCTCTCAGTACACTTGGGGATTTAAGTTCAAGAAAAAGGGAACCGCTAAGTCCACTATCGATTGTCTAACTAAAATACGTCATGACTTCCGAGCCCCAGAATCGTTCATGACGGATGGAGGTCGCCATTTCGACAACCACGATGTCGCCGGATGGTGCGCAGCACACGGCACTCAACACCATGTGACAGCAGCCTATGCTCCATGGATCAACGGGTTAGTGGAAGGCACAAATAGCAAGTTGTTGGGGAGATTGCGTCGAGCCTGCGCACCAGAGTTGGGAGAAGACGAGTCCAGCGCAGGAGCAACCCTGGACGAAATTCCAGCTAGCTGGCCAGATCACTTCGAAGCAGCCATCCAACACCTCAACGAACGGACCATTCCCGCATTCCAGTACTCACCGAAAGAGCTGTTGTTGGGGTTGGTTATCAACACAACCATCACACCATCGCAAGTCACAGCTTCGGCACCGTCACAAAGCGACGTCGACGTTCACTCAGCCTACGTGGCGCAACAACGTTTGGACTCACAGTTCCACACCACGATCCACGCCATCAAACGCAAGCTCAAGTTCGATCGAAAGGTCTTATTATCTGGAACAGGTGAAGTCGTGTTTGCTCCAGGACAGTTAGTTCAAGTCTACGCTAATGAGTTAGATAGTACCTTCAAATCCTCACGAAAACTCATGCCTCGGTGGTCTGCACCACGATGCATCGTCTCGCAACGCAGCAATTCATATGTGCTGTCCACCCTCGAAGGGTTTCCAATGCCAGGCTGGTACCATGCCAGACGCCTGCGCCATTTCATACCTCGGTCCGGAACAGCATTAGCTGAGCTGCAGAAGGAAATAGAGGACAGCAGAACAGCAGAAACGAGTGGCGAAACGATGGAGGGAGGGGTGAGCATCGAGACGTTGGAAGGAGAGACGAGCGAAGATGCGAGGATGGTGTACACTCTTCAAGACCAACCTTTGTTTCCTCTAGAAGCAGTTGCGTTAGACACGCCGTTCAGAGACGCGACCCAGGAGTGTCGCATTTGTTGGGGGGGTATATGTGTCAGTAGGGGTTGCATAGGAGCTGAACAAGGAGTGCATAGGCAGGAGGTGTTGCAGGTGTCAGGGGCATTAGAGGTGTCAGAGGTCCTGGTAGAGTCTTAGAGGTAGCGCCAGTGCCTTGTAGCAGAAGCATCACATCCACTACAAAGCATCATTCATAGAGTCACCCTGCTTCGTCATACTGACTCACCGTCGAACGCTAGCGTCTGACTTCCAAAATCCTTGTGGACATATAGGTAGTCATGCGATTGAGCTTCGAGGGTCGACTCTTGCGATCCACTCATCGGAGGCGTGCCTTGCTATCAGAATGTCAGTGTTTGATTCCCATTTTTATGTGCATCTAGCTGATAATCTAGCTAGTCACGCTATCGGACTTTTAAGGTCAAAGCTTGTAATGCCTCCATCGAACGCTGGCGTTTGATTGGCACATCCATCCGGCTATCTTATTGAACACTTGCGTTTGATGTTTTCGACTCCCCATCCTTGTGGACCTCTAGCTAGTAATCTAGCTGGTCATCCTGTAGAACTTCTAGGGTCGACTCTCGCAATATCTACATCGAACGCTTGCGGTTGATGTTTTCGACACATCCATGTGGGCCTCCAGCTAGTAATCTAGCTGGCCATCCTATTGAACTTCCAGAGGCGACCCTTACAATCTCTCCATCGAACGCTTGCGTTTGATGTTTTCGACAGTTATATTCTAATGCCAGTGTTAGACTCCACATCCTTGTGGACCTCTAGCTAGTAATCTAGCTAGTCATCCTGTAGGACCTCCAGGGTCGACTTTTTCAATGCTTCCATCGAACGCTTGCGTTTGATGTTTTCAACAGTTTCTTCTAATGCTAGTGTTAGACTCCCCATCCTTGTGGAGCTCTAGCTAGTAATCTAGCTAGTCATCCTATAGGACTTCTAGGGTCGACTCCTGCAATCTCTTCATCGAACGCTTGCGTTTGATGTTTTCGACAGTTGTATTATAATGCTAGTGTTAGACTCCACATCCTTATGGACCTCTAGCTAGTGATCTAGCTAGTCATCCTGTAGGACCTCTAGGGTCGACTTTTTCAATGCTTCCATCGAACGCTTGCGTTTGATGTTTTCGACAGTTATATTCTAATGCCAGTGCTAGACTCCACATCCTTGTGGACCTCCAGGGTCTACTTTTTTAATGCTTCCATCGAACGCTTGTGTTTGATGTTTTTGACAGTTATATTCTAATGCTAGTGTCAGACTCCCCATCCTTATGGACCTCTAGCTAGTAATCTAGCTAGTCATCCTGTAGGACCTCCAGGGTTGACTTTTTCAATGCTTCCATCGAACGCTTGCATGTGATGTTTTCGACAATTCTATCCGAATGGTGGTGCCCGACTCCTCATGCTTGCGGACCTCCAGCTAGTGATCCAGCTAGTCATCTTGCAATATCTTCATCGAACGCTTGCGTTTGATGTTTTCGACAGGTTTATCCCGATGATAGGGTTCGACTCCCCACCCACGTGGACCTCTAGCTAATCATCCTATTGAACTTCCAGTGTCGGCCCTTGCATTCTTCATCGAACGCTTGCGTTTGATGTTTTCGACAATTCTATCCGAATGGTGGTGCCCGACTCCTCACACTTGCGGACCTCCAGCTAGTGATCCAGCTAGTCATCTTGCAATAATCTTCATCGAACGCTTGCATGCTTGATTGATGTTTTCGACAATTCTATCCAAATGGTAGTGCCCGACTCCTCACGCTTGCGGACCTCCAGCTAGTGATCCAGCTAGTCATCTTGCAATATCTCCATTGAACGCTTGCGTTTGATTTTTTCGACAGTTCTATCCAACGCTAGTGTTCGACTCCTCATCCTATAGGACTTATAGGGTTGACTCTTGCATTCTCTTCATCGAACGCAAGTGTTCGATGTTCTCGGAAGTTCTATCCGAACGTTAGTGTTTGACTGACATTCTTATGGACATTTAGCACGCTCATCCACTACCATATTTCTTGACAACGACCCCATGTCGTCCTCGTAACAAACACATCTCACTGAACCGTTTATGATTAATCGGGCCCACGACCTTTTCTATGTCAAGGCAGGCATTTCCGCCTTCTCCAACAATAACTACAGTATCAGTGTCCGATGACACAAGAAACTCTGTTTACTACCATTGTATTCTGCGTCATATTCACCTGTCAAAACCTAGGTTTCCCAATTCATACTCTCCTCCAAGGCGACAGCTCCATCTACTAACACGTCGGGGGTTTCAACATTTTCCCTCTTGCAAGATGTCAATCGAAAGCAGATCTGGACCTGGCTAGACCATTCCAGACCTAGCCTAGAGCGTTCCAGAGCACTCTGGATTACCTCTCAAATGACATTTCACTGGCGGCAAAATGTGGTAAAATGTCAGTTTCCCCGCTGTGTAATAGTTCACCCGCAATATCCATTTTCCTGCCCCTAAATTAGGGTTAGGTTTATCGTCGATGTTGCTGTACTGGCAATGATCTTACTCTAACAAATCTCTCAGCTTCGTGGTCCAGGCGTCTCACTTGTGACAAATAAACCAACCAACCAACCAACCAACCATATTTTTAAATACCTGGAGTGGGAGTTGCAATTGAGCTCGTGAACAAGATTTTTTCCATGCGGTACCTACATTTTTGAAAAATACATAGACACGCAAATTGTAATCAGTGCGAAAAATACGTGTAGTGTCACCCTCAAACCTAACCTGGATTTTGTAATATCATCTCTCACTGCACGAGTCGAATACAATTTAAACACTAATGAGTATAGGTCAAAGTGATTTTGTGCACACCTACATCTTCTTCCTTTGCAGGCTTTGGAGTGTACAACCAAACAAGAAAATTCTCTGCAGTACGCTTTGCTATAACAGCATGGACTGGCAGTCCCTCAAATTTTAGCTCCCGCCCACCATACTTTGTCAGTAGTTGTTTGCAAAAAGTTGTCTCCAGGTAGAAGTTAAAAGCTGTCGCAAAAGTTATCGCAGAAGTTGTCGCAAAAGTTGTCTCCAAGTAGAGGTCAAAATGTTGGTGGTTGCATGGTAGTTGTCGCAGAATTTGTCGCAGGAGTTGTCACAGGAGTTGTCGCAAAAGTTGTCTCCAAGGTCAAAAGCTGTCACAGAAGTTGTCGCAGAAGTTGTCGCAGGAGTTGTCCCAAAAGTTGTCTCCAAGTAGAGGTCAAAAGCTGTCACAGAAGTTGTCGCAGAAGTTGTCGCAGAAGTTGTCGCAGAAGTTGTCGCAGGAGTTGTCGCAAAAGTTCTCTCCAAGTAGAGGTCACAAGCTGTCGCAAAAGTTGTCGCAGAAGTATGTCACAAAAGTTGTCTCCAAGTAGAAGTCAAAAGCTGTCGCAGAAGTTGTCGCAGAAGTTGTCGGACTGCGGTGGCTTAGTTCTCTTTCCATTTACTTAGCTCATTCATTACAGTGATGTATGACGGCTATGACGGACCGTGGCGGACAAAAATATTCACTCAGAAATTTGTAACTCAACTTGAAGACCTAACTCGAAATTCCCAACTCAACTTGCTCATGTGGCAACTCAAGTTGAACTGAGTCAACTCATCCACGTGTCAACTCAACTTGACCTCAACTTCAACATCTCAATTCAACTTGCTCGTAAGTAACTCAATTTGCATGTCACTCAACCTTACCAACTCTCTTTGCATGCAATCTAGATTCACACAGCGCACTATTCGGCCGATTCGGTCTGGGAGGGGCAATCTGCTGCTATCCACCCTCAATGCAGGGTTTTTGCCGTAGTGGAGGGCATCCTGACGCGCCTTTTACGAGTCGCATGCCTTTATATCTCGACTAATTCTTGCTGATGTGCTTTACCTGCACTCTCTGATGTATTTCGAGCCGTCTTTTATTGATACCATACAACTTGTCACCTCTACCTGCAATGCGCGCTACCTATTCATTTCTTATCTCAATGGTGCGCATGATACTGTCCGTTTCATCTACCAATGCTAACATTATAACACAGTTGTAAAGAATGCATTATATTATATCTTCCGACATGCACAGATAAGGGAGAAGTGCCACGATGCCCGACGTGCCCACATGGACCAGTCAAGGAGCAAGATCTCATCGAGGTTCTCCGGTCATCTGGTCAAGATAGCTCACACCAGGAGTCCACAGGGGACGAAAAAGAAGGAACGTCGACGTCAGAAGTCTTTCTGCGCCGAAATGAATTTAGATCATCCACGAAACAGGATGCGCTGGTACCAAACCTTAGTAGGTGTTCTGTTGCATAGTCCATTCCACTCTGAGCTAAGTACTCTTTGAACGGTCACCAGTTCTTGTTTACGTTCCATCCGAGCTCTGCGATCTTGATTTTGGCACACTTCCCTCTGACGCAACAGAGTCGTACCTTCCTGCAATTTCTCTGTCGTATGAATTTCCAGCCATCTCTGTCGCATCTTCGGAAGCTCCTTCCGCAAAATGGTAGCTCGAAACATCCACAGATCCCAACATATTCATTGCAGCTTGCCAGCTGGTCCCCGAAGTTGAATGGCCGTTCAATGTTGATGTTTTCAATAGAATTTCTGCATCGTGGCCTCAGAAGCTGTCTCGACACTAAAGATCGTCTGTTAGTGCCAGAAAAGGTCCTGAACGTTCTCATCACATCAATATCGTGATCACGCTACCTCATTATACTAGTTAATAGTGCACCAATTTCAGATTTTGATTTAACTATTTCCGGTCTGATGGTTGGCTTGCACATGGGCAGAGAAGCAGTATGTCTAGATATAAGTTCTATTGATCGATGTTAATTGTTCTGATCAGCCGCCGTCACTAGTACTACTAACATCTGCATAAAATCTGGTGCACCACATGGCTCGAGGGTCTTGTGAGGCATATGGTACACCAGCACCTGTAAGTGGCTTTGACTTGTCAGCTATTCTCGACTTTAATTATTTTCTGTAGTCTCAAGGACGATGGTTGCATGGGATTGTTCCCAACAGTGAAACACTAGGTGAGACGCTGCACAGGGCGTAATGTAATGCCCAGGATTGCAATAAATGCACATATAACTTTTGTGCTCGATTGTCTCCCTATCTTCGTACATCGTTATTAGTTCTGTGTAGTCAATCTACATTGCATACGAGCATAGTAATACAATAAAGCTGTGAACTTGCTGAAGTCCAACAATGAAAATAAGTAAGGAATCTAGGACAAGCATCGTCAATCTCCATAAAAAATCAGAGGCAAGTGGTAATGAGAAAATCAATCATTTGCGATCTCCATGAACGATTGGAGGCAAGTGGTTAACTCATTCATATCGATCAAGTCCCCTGGGCCAAATATACCCTTATTCCCTGAAGTCTGATTGGGAGTACGATATGTTTTTTGCGCCAGTCTTGAGGTTTATCCAGAAATGGTTGACAATAGCGGCTGTGATAGCCGTTGCTCGGTTCGTGCTCTCCAATTCCAGTTTTCTCTTGTCTCCACCAGCAGCAACATAAGCGCCCGGGTCTAAAACCATAAGACAGAGCGCCATTAGAGGTCTAGTATATAACTCTTAAAGGGACGTTAGAAGCAATCAATGTGGATTAGTTAGTGCAAATGCTTACTGGTGCGGCAAGAGAGGCGCGGTAGGTTAACTACCATTCGCTGGAACGTTTCCAAGGAGTGCGAGTGAGCTTGATTTGTTAAGTAATTGCCGTGCTTGTGATCCAAGTGACGAGAGTTTTTAGGACAAATGGTGAGTGTCACGATTGAAAAAATGCCCGCCTGGTAAAAAAGGCTTCTACAGGCGAATAGACAGCATGGAATTGACCAGGTGGTTGTATACTTGAACATATTAGCAAAATTTTTCAAAGAAACATAGGGTTAATAACTTACAGGAGATCCCCCTTTCTGACAGTGATTACTTCTATATCCCATAAAGCAGCAATCTCCTCGCGGTTCTCGGGAAAAGTACCTAACAATCTGGCTGCCTTGGCGAACGCAGTCTGAGAGATAGTGTCCTGATTTTTCAGGTTAGCCACGGTCCATTGCTTTGTGCCGACGATGCCATAAACAAAAGTGCATCCGCTGTCTGAGTCATGATGAAAATAAGTGAACCAGCCTGGTTTGGCTAGCAAACCCCACGAGCGTACTGTAAAGTTGTCAGGGTGAACTTGATCACCGATAGGACAATCGTTGGTGGACTGATTCCACCTGTCGACGATGCCACTATCTAGGGAGCTAAAAAATAAAGTTCAGACTGATGATGCGAGAGAACGTGACGAAGCGCACCTCAGAAAAAGCGGGAGACCCCCTTGTGCGGGCGGAATATCAAGAATACACTGTATCTTGCTCTGGTCGCGTATGTTGCGTATAAACTGCTCAAGTGTTCCACGCTGCTGGGGATATGTAGAATTCTTCGTACGCTGTTCTGCATCTGTTGAAATGTGTGAGATTGACTTTTAAAAAGCATGAATAGAAAAAGACTGACCATGTATGACAACATGCATTAGTTCTGACATACCCCAATCTTCCAGTAGCTCAAGATTGAGTTCGTCCGCTACAGGTTGATCGCATTGACGAAGGACGACAGCTTTATTTTGGCAAAGCGCGGCAAGTGATGGTTTCTCGCAACTCTCGTTTCTTGGAGCGCCAGTCACCGTAGTGTAGATGAAGAACGTGTTTTGATGAATCAGGACTGGATTCAGGAAGTGTAGCGACATATGCGACCGCATCTGCGTCACTCTGCAGCACATTTTTACCGTCCTTGTATATATACGGCAGCACCGTTGTTGTGCCACTTTTCCATGTTACTGTCGGCGAATTTGCATGAACTTGAGAGGCGATTATGGGAGTTGCCAAGTCGAGGGACTCGATGTCAGTGAGATTTGACAAGGTAGGTGAGGGGGGTGCGAGGTCATAGGGATTAACGAGTGGGGAATCCGTCATAATGCATACGTCTCGGGTTGTGATAGGAGGGGAATTGTGCTGAGTTTCAGCAACGGGCTGTTGTAGGAGAATGGGATCAATGAGGGTATCGTCGAATGGGACATGAGAAGTAGATGGCCCAGTAGTGTTTGGAGCATCTGAAGAGACCTGGTTGCCAGAGTTTGAAGTTTGCACGGAGTTCTCCACGTTCTCCACATCGTTGGGTTCCTGGGCTGCGCTGGATCTTGAAACACTGACGCCGCTTTGGAGGGGGCTCGCTGCTGGCGATTTCGAGTGCTCTCTGTTTCAGAGCTGCCCGTGAGCGTCGTTTGTTCGCGTTATTTTTCTCGCATATCCTTTTCTCTTCTGTGGGGTCTTCTCTGATCCTCTGTGTCCATCGTTTCTGGTACTCAGTAGGCTTTCACCTTAGGAGGTAGACCTTGCAGATCGGGATATTTGAGTCTCTTAGTATCAGACATGGTATGTAAACTAGAAATATCCTTGTCAACACACAGCAGTCCGTGAAAATGATACGAAGCCTACAATTTTAGAGAAGATCAAAGGGAGTTGGTTGGTTGGTTAAGTGATGTTCCAGGTATGGAAAAGAAAGTTGGTTAGATGAAAATGGAAATGAACCCCATTAAATGGGTTACATAAACAGACAATGTCCACCACTCAGTGTTCATTGTCAATATTTCAGCGTTGTGACTGTGGACGTGACCTTTACAATAGGATCGACGCGTCATATGAATAGGAGTTAATTGTCTTAATGCTTACCTTTAAGTTGTTCTTTATCGAAGGAAGTCGCAAATGTCGCAAAAAGTCACAGAAGTCTCAGAAGAGTCGCAGAATTAAGAAGGGTTGCAATGTAGATGGTCTTTAGAATATAAGTCTGCCTTCACAAGCTAGTTAGGCTCGGGACCAGCCTGTCTGATTGATTTTTCAGGCGAAGCACCGATTTTTTAATTTCAGCAGGTGCTGGTTGTACCGGTTGAAGTAGTAGTAGTGCTACATAGTTACTATAGACGCAGAAACTTTCGTTCGCACGCTGCACAGAGTACCGCATCTTTCTAGCTTTTGCACTGCAGCACTAAAATTGAAATTGAAATACCAATTTCTCTCTATTAAGAGGTCTAACTGTGATAGCCATCTTGTCGGGGGAAAGAAGCAATGGTTGCGGATATGGACATGGGCAATACAGAACTGATATTACAACTCATGGTTTAGGTTAGGTTGATCATAAAATAGACATGTAGAAAAAACACAGTAAGTACTTTAGATTTAGTGTCTGTATAATGTCTGTACATTATTTACACTCAGGGAGCAAGTCGGCGCGGTGCTTTGGTCCGACTATGATTTTGAATCGAAGTCGCAGAAGTCGTAGAAGTCGCAGAAGTCCAAACATGGTAACCGACTTACCATTCTTGGAATATTAGTGTCAACTTTTGACTATGTAGATCACTACTCTGCACATCAGACTAGTCATCCCCGGGACCATAAAGATTCCACCTGGCCCTCATCCTCATCGTAGTTACTGCCAGGTGGCTAGAACAGGACAAGCAAGCACCACTAACATCAATTTTTTTTCTGAGAGCAGGACATGGCCATGATACTATCAGCAGTGGTGAAGTAACACAAGAGACGTGCCATGGACCACTTGAGAACGGGTCATGCCCGGTCGATCTAATACCATGGAACAAGCAGGTATGCTCCAATTCTTTGTCATCCTCGACCCGACAATATCACTGGAAGTATGCGTGTTGTTCGGTGCGTCAGGTCATCGAACAATTCTTTATTAAGAGTCTTGATATTACACATAGCGTAAAAAAATTCTAATCAATACACCCATCCGTCATCATCGCTCTCAGCTTCACAACCTCTACACGGGGAATGACATCGATGTCAAATGGCGCTGCATGAGAAATGACCGCATCATTGAAAGCGTGCGTGTTGATGGGTGCATCAGGTCGTTGAACAATGCAGAAAGAACACAAAAGAAATGCGAGGGTAATGTACAACGATTGATTTGCGAGGTGCAGGCCGGGACATACACTTTTGATGATAAGTGAACTTCGTTGATCGGTCTGAAAATCGGCGTCGGAACGACTTACTGTCTACCAAAGCCAAATGTGATGAATTTCGTATGATCATCATTAAGGCGGCCTTCTGAATCAAGCCAGCGCTGAGGATTAAATGTTTCAGGAGCTGGGAAGACAGTAGGATCGCGAGAAAGAGTCCTGAAAACATGTGCTTAATGAAACAATGTATACCGTGAAGCAACGCCATACCAATGGCAGCCGTAGACAGTTGCACCCTTGGGAATGCAGTATCCTTAGCTGATTGCACTGCAGGCTAGAATGAGAACGTGGGTTACAACAGATTAAGACACTGACCCACAAAATATCCTTGGTTGCACGGTGGGGAAATCCTGAGCACATATCAGTATCATTCAGAGTGTGCCAAAATTCGAATTTACCTATGCGGACGATAGGTCTCCACCTCAAAGTTTCCAACAAGAATGCTGTGCAATTGGGGAAGGGAGCTCGAGTCATTGAAGGTCGGCGCTATATGGGAAATTAATTGAGAAATCAAAATCTTTGTACCCCTTTGATTTCGTATTACCTCTGTCTGACCCGATCACTGTGTCTAGCTCTTCATGTACCTTTGCCTGAGCCAGTGGATGACATGCTGCAGCCATAGCAGTAGCGGTAATTCCAACAGCGGTCTAAACAGAAAGTGAATTCGTGAAAGATAAATAAGTTGCATGGCTTACTGTATCAGATCCTGCCCCAAAGAGTGATCCAGCAAGATACGACATCTCATCTATAGAGAGTTTCTGTTCTTCGGTGTTTTCCAATAGTGTCTTGGTGAAGGAGGGGCCAGCTTCATTCCGATCCTGCGTACAACAAGATGTAAGTGACATACATTTACCAAAACAAAAAGCCCTTTACCACTTCACTCTTGACGGGCCTTAGTTGATGCCTAAATAGCTCGAGCTCCTCATGATGCCACTCATCAAGTTGTTTTCTGTAACCAGGCAAGTGTCGCAAAAGAGGCACACGATCGACCAGATAAGCTCCTGGGAGAATCGTGGCATGAAAGTGATCAACAACTTTGTGGATACGGACAACTTCGAGATCGGCGTTGGCAGTGGGAGTAGATTTCCCATAAGTCACCTGAAGAATGACTGATGCTGCATACCTTAAGATACCATATCTATGAAAGGATCACAACAGGCCTTGGGAGTGACGTACCGCGTTGCATGCTTCTGATGGTTCGTCGGGTCATTCAGCACATCCAATATAAAGTCCATCACGTTCTTGTGCTGCATATCTTGGTATTCTTGTGCCGTTTTTGGTTGTAAATAAGGGTGTACTGCTTTTCGGAGGCGCCGGAAGCGTTCTCCGGAACGAGCTAGGGTCATACGCATCTCATGTGAGAGCATCTCACTCGCTGCAACGGACCGAGGTCGGTCTATCAGTGATCCACCTTCTTTCTCCATGATGTCTACAACCACCTGGTAGATAGGTTATTGTCGGATGAGAATTAAAATTTGGGCAGATAATCAGATTACCTCCACGCCACCGATGACGATGATGACTTGGCTACCTTGTCGGAACGACACAACCAGCCCATACTCTCGGACAAAGTTGGTCAGGGCATAGGCGATGCTGAGTAGACTGATCTACGTCAATCTACAATATTTTGTATAACACTGCCAAAACTCACTTTACAGCAGGCAAAGCATTATTCCAGAACCAACGGGCGGGAGGCCCAGGTGGATGTGTGCGCGTTGATCAGCGCTTCAGGCCGTTGAACAATATGGAAAGACCACAAGCTTAGAAGTGCGAGGTGCAGGCCAGGTCCGCCATGGTGATCACTTGAGCCTGAAAGTACAGTATAAAAGGATGAATCGATCGTTACTGATCCTATACTCATGAGTTTACAGTCGGCCTTGAGCACAAAAAACGGAATAAGCAGAGAGCAGACCGGTGGTAAAGTAACACGGAAGATGTACCATGGACCACTTGAGAATGGGTCATACCCGGCATATCATCAAGACCCAGTCCATAAACCGATATCACACATCTGGGAGCAGGATATTCAGTGGCACTGTCAGTATCGGGTAAACACATGCACCTACCAAAGACTCCCTGTCATCACTGTAGTTGCATGATGAGCAGGGCTAGACAGAAACTCAACACGAAGAGTGGAAGAGAGTGGAAGCAGTGCACATATACTCACTTTCGGGCAAATTTATGAATGTTATGATGATGTAGTTGCACTCCTGTGCAGAGATATGTATGAGAAGGGAAGGGTCAGACCAACTGAGCCATTCCCTTGGATGGATATTCATGTCAAGAACTACAAATGGGAGCTACAAGGGAGATGGTAGCAGTGATGTCGGCGGCCCAACACAAACCCAACAGTTTGCACCCGGGCAAAGTGCCAAAGGGATACCAAACAAAGGACTTTCAAGTATAGTTTGCTGATCCAGTCATGGACGGTCATTGATATTAGCCTGAATATGTTGGAAGAAATTTGACCAGCCGGCGGACTATGAGGTCTAGACTCTCAGGCGGGCCAAGGCGTAGATGGCCACAACTTTGTATCAAGCCAAGCTACGCCCTTCGGCTGACCGCGGCGGTGCGACCGGTTTAGCTGGAGCCTGGGAAAGTATTTGTGCGACGACTTCCTAAAATGTCTGGTCGAGAAAGCCATATAGTCGGCTGAGTCGGGTCTCCTCTCTAAGACCGTTGTGCGATTATATACATGGTTCTGGACAGTTTCTGGAATCACGAAAATGAGTGTATAACATATTTACCATACAAAGTCCTTTGGACCACACTTGACCCCCCCCCCCCCCCCATTTTCACCTCATACCAACGGAGCAACCAGTAGTCCCAGGGAATTTCCTCATGAATGTTTTCAATCCTCGCATTCTTGATGCCAGCATCCGTGATGTAACAGGGTGTCTGTCTGACAATTCAAAAGGCTGATGTTCTTTTCCATGCTTTGCAGCATTTGCCGTCCGAAGGGTACGTTCGTCCAATTACTTTATAAAATAAAATTCAGATGGATGTGTGTCACAAAGGTCCTGAATTGTCATGGAGAATGCTATTCAGTCCTTTCTCCAAGTCTCAGGCGTTCCACCAGCAGATGTTGCAAGGGATCTTTTGTTGCGTGCCAAAACCCGTTTAGCAGCTGTGTACTGAACTTCTGCACAACAAGGTCAGGTTCATGCATGTCTTTAGGTTCCGTCAGTGTGCTGATATCGCTATCTTTTAAATTTGCTGTCCGTGTCATGTTCAGATCCTGCAAATCAAGACGTCAAAGCCATAATACAATCTGAGCATTTACGACAAGAAATGGTAAGTTGCGCAACCTTTTTTTATGACGTCCCCCCCAGAGCTGAGAACAGATACAGGGGTGTCAATGGCAGCCAGGAAGAGCAGAAACGCAATGCCTGGCACTACCAGTGAAGTGCTGATATTCTTACCCGCATTCTCGTCGATCCCGTCTTTGCCTCACAGGTCAGAAGCTTGAGCGTATATGCCTGTTGTTTCAGACACGTCACATACATTGGCAGTTGCAGACTGGTTTGTGCTCATTCTTCAGCGTTACTGTGTCTCAATCCTCCCTAGGGATGTTAATTAACTCTTTGCCTAAGCTCTGCAACCTTCGTAGTGTGCATTGTTCGGGGAACAGTGGATTAATCAATCGCATGCTTGAAACACTGTGCGTCAAACCATCGTCTTTGCAGCCTGTCCATCAAGTACGTCGTTTGATACTTCCTTTCGCCCCAAAACAGCTTGCATGTTCACACTCCATACAGTCTTGTTGACTGTTCAGGGGACATTGACATCCCACCATTCAAGCACATTACACATTTCTCCATCACAGCTGAAAGAGGGAACAGCACATCTACCCATGACTTTATATCACAGAGTCATGACAACGTGTGCTCGCTTTCCATTAAGAATGCAAACTGGAAATTCCCAACGGATGCCATCTCCGTCTGTCACTTGACGATCATCGAGTTTCAGGCCTGAGGGCTGTTTTCCGTAGACAGCCAGGGCTTTTCAGAGATCTTGTCCACTGGTCATCAACTGGAGTCGCTCACATTGTCAGGTATTTGTTTCGCCTGCATAGGTCCTCGCTTCCGTTCCTGACACATTTTGCTCTCAAGATTATCAGTCTGCATCGACATGTCACAGACAGGGACCTCGTGCCTGCTATCTCGGAATTCTTGAGAAATCGCAAGCATCTTCATTCCTTCCACATCATCATGCCCAGTGAAGACCATCGTTGCATTGATTTTGATAGGGTCTGCCTGGGGAGTACTACCTTTTCTAATGAACCTCCGCAGTCTCCATATCACTTATCCTAGAGATCTTTCTCCTTCGCTAGCAGGGTGGCTTATTCCGCGGAGTGTTCAGTGTGCTCACCATGGATATTATGGTACTGCCTGCAGAGGACCTTCTTTTTTTCATAAATGTGAGTCGATGACACTCGTCATTGACAAGAAGAGTAGCATTGATGTGTTCTATTATAGCAATTGCGTCCCGGAGTCCCTCCCCTTCTCACGTTCATTGGTATGACAAACTTTCCGACATGTTCTGTCATTAACATGACATGCTCTCAGCATCTCAGCATCGACCTCCGATGGATCAGCAATCAATGTGCAAGTTAGCCTCAACGCAAATCGACGCATTCTTGACAGAGCTTGAAAGGTTAGATGATAAGATGATTCTTACCGAAGTACACCTGCTCGAGAGTCACATCTACCGTGGCATCGGAAACCTGTCGAAGTCCAAGGTTGGTCCTTCGAGTGCCATCCCGGTATTCTCATTGTACGCTTACGTCCACGAAATGCAAAGGCTGCCATCACTTTCGCTAGGTCCGCTGTAAACTCAATATATGTATTGTCCTGGTCTTCAAGCAGCGTTAGACCTGCAATCTGGTGTTCTCCATGCCAAGGACAAAGATTACACTATCGCATACTCATATTTCTATGAGACTTTTGAGAACATGTCATCGCAGGATGACCCAGCAGCGCTGAACGCACTCAAGTACATGCTTTTGTGCAAGGTCATGTTGAATATGGTGTGTTGTCACTGATCTTGACTCATCAGTCATTTTGATATGCATTCCAGCCAGAAGATGTAACATCACTTCTCTATATCAAGCTCGCAGTAAAATTCTGCAGCACTTTATGACACCCTTCTCCAGCAGAATTTGCTGCATATCGGTGAGCCGTACTCGATGGTAAAGATTGACTACGTTGCAAAACAGGTTGGTCAAGGACGGCAGGACACTGAGGCCAAGTGGATATTGAATTGTCTCTGGAAAGTAGCTCATATTGTGTTTTAGGCTATCTCAGATGATCTTGGACATGGTGTTCCACGGCGTGCTGGATCAGGGACGACTCGGATGCCTGATCGTATTTGATGAGCTAGAAGCTGACGTGTGTCCTTTCTTCTCGCTCGTCTCGTTCGTGCTCATCCTTTTTTCAGACCACGTATGGTGCAGCAATCGGGACCTGGAATAAGTTAGCAAGGTCATAGACTCGTTGTATGCCAAAGTGCGTGTTTTGATTGTTCCTGGCCACTGGTCTATGCTTATGAATATCATTCAGACTGTCAGGATTGCATAAATGTAGTTTGAATTTTCTCCTTCCTACACGTGCAATTCAACACAATACGTATAATTAAGAAGGGAAATGGTAGATGTGTCCGCGCTCACTAGCCGAGTCATCGCGCGGTGTCTTGTTACTTAAGGGTCTTATATGAAAGTTGTGTATAATGACAACACAATTATACACGGTGAAGACTTCTTGCCAGTCCTTAAGTCCACGGTCTCCGACTTTTCTACTTCGTGGGAGGTAACGTGGTGAGTTCTTGGGAGGATTTAGTTTGTTGTCCTCTTCTTGTGTAGTCTTATATGAAGTTGTTGTGGAATGTTCTGTGTTCTGGATAAATTCATTAGGTTTGTTTCAGCCTAGTAGGTCGTGTTTCAACCTATGAAAGTCTGTTTCAACTTTGTCGTCCTTAGATGTGTCTCACTTTCCGTTGAAAGGGAGAGTCTTATGAATACACGTAAAGCTTAGAATGAGAGCTGTTCAATGGTTATATAGTCAACCCCTGTAAGGTAGTATATAACCTAGAGTAGAATAACGATAATGAAAGTTATATAGTCGACCCCTGTAAGGTAGTATATAACTTTAGAATAGATAATGATATCTTAGATTACCTCAAGGCACTTATATTGGCCTGCACTTTAAGTCTTAGTGGTCTCACACAGTTTGAGATAAGAGTCAAGTGGGAGGATTGTATTTCATGGGTGAAAATGGGGTCCTTTTATACCTTTTGGGAACCCCCTTACTAAGCATGATTAATCAGATGGATTGGTAAGAATGTGGCTTACAAACCAGGTGATGAATCAGCTTATTACTAAGTACATTACAAATACAGTGTAATCTTACAAAGAAATTAGAAACCATGACAAACCATGACTAAACATGTTGAGTCATGTTAAATGTTGTTACAAAGCATGGCCAATCATGACTAAACATGTTGAGTCAGCTTAAATAATGTTACAAACCAGAATATTTCCCAGTCACATGATGTGATGACAAATAAAAGCTGGTGGCTGAAAGAAGCCAAATACAAATAAACAGTCAGAAATAAATAGAGATACAAAACTTGGTGGCTGAAAGAAGCCAAATAAAAATAAACAATGAGAAATAAACAGAAGGTCACATGCTTGATACAAATACAAGGTAAAATAAGCCTGTAAAGTGAGAAATAAAATACAAGACAATGAAATAAAGGAAAAATAGAGAGGTAACTTAGTGACAAAGGGCTAGACAGTCTCTCATATCTTCCTTATCACTCTCTATATATATCTGACATGGTATGAATCACATACCATGCATGACACCGCGCGAGCCTCTTTCAACTCCACCGCTGGATCCTTGGACTTGTCCTTTCCCTTAGGCGCAGAACCAGACGCTAAAGGACCAACAGCGCGCACAGGAATATCACGTGAGGCGCGCACTGACCTTTTCCTCCACAGAGTGCTCTCCAACAATCTCCACATCCATCTCAGACTTCTCGGATTCTTCTTCATCCTCAACTGCAATGGAGGAAGCGGCCTCCTTTGCAGACTCAGCAATAGGACACTTAGGCATTGGTTTGCAGTGGGCGTGCCTTAGGCGCATCTGTATTGTTGCGCTTAGCTAATCCACAGCAGTCAGTGGCGTGCACCAACAACATACAAGAGGCGCAACTTACAGAAAGTGCAAGCGCGCTTGGACACATCACAAGGAGGACAGCGGCGACCAGGCGCGCCTCCGCAGTCTATGTCCTTGGCAATGCAAGTGCCACAGCGCCACGCCTTGACCACAGACATGCGCCCGACGCGAGGCTAGTGCAGCCAAACATGTTAATAGAGTGGCACGCCAGCAGGAAACAGAGCACACACCTTCTTACTGGAATCAGTACCAGACGCGTCAGTGGCACGCGCCTCAACTTTGGACGTGCCAGTGGCGCATGCAGCTTGCATGGGAGGCGCCTGTGGAACTGATGCAATCGCCCTCACCTTCCAGTCCTTCACGACCACCTCAATCTCCTTACAACACTTCTGCCCCTGCTTTAACAACTCCACGCTCTTATCATCCATCTCCAGCGCCACCGCCAACACACCCACGCACGTGGAACAGCCGTTCAAGGTGGCCTAGGAATGTCAGACCACAATAGATGAATACATGTAAGCGCACTCACCAGCACAGAATACCACTCGTGCAACCACATCTCTTGATCCTCGAGGAGTTCCGGCTTGAGATCAGGCGCAGGACACCACACATCCTTCCAAGGAGACCAGAATGGAGGCCCAAGCGGCAAGGAGGCGATCGGTATTGGATTCTGCACTAGCGTCGCCCATAGGCGCGTCCTCAGGTGGCCCTTGCGCCACTGGAACAGGCTCAGGAGAAGGAGTGGCGTTCAGCCCAGCAACATTGAAAGTAGGCATGGTGAGAGATTGATAAGAAAGAAGTCAAGAGATCGCGAGAACGCGTCCATCTTCTTATCAACATCTCCCCCGATTACATCATCGATGCTCAGCGATTATCAAAGGACGACCCTACTCTCACAATCACCTGATCCCTGTCTATCACCACTTCTCTAAGTCCAAGATCCCGCGCTATAGCACTGAGTGGGAACACTCAGAATGTAAGTCCCCGGGAGATGTAGAGACTCGCACGTCTCAATGCTGAGTATGCGGCCCTTATCCATACATTCCTATATGATCCAACTCTAATCCAAAGGACCAGTCTCGCGCGCACTCAGGTGCGCCTTACCTGCGCTCGCGCTATGCGCACTTCGCGCGCATTCGTGTGCCTCCTCCTAGGTCTTCGCTGCTACCGTCTGTCCATTCATCCCATGTCCTTACTGATTTGCTGGTGCGTTATTCCTATCTCATTCATTGAACTAATGAAATTTTTCGTCCGATGTCCACGCTACATATAGAAAGTCTATTTAAACTTAGTTATAATTAGAGTTGATATGGTTACTCGGTTCGGGAGCGTGCTCAGAAGCGCGCTGCATAGCGTAATCTCCATTCTTAAATACAGAAGGGATTCCTTTGGTTCTGGGACTTACTTTCCCCTTATCTTTGTGTACTGGAAAAGTGTATAGATCACCTCCTCACTTGAAATCAGATCTTATTTTCCTGTCAACCATCATCTGTGCATCCACTCTTCAAATAGGAACCTTCCCTTAACGTTCTAGGCGCGCCTTCGCTTCGCGCGCGTGCATTCTCGAACCTCCCGCTCACGTGCGCATCTCGTGCGCCTTCATGCGCATTACCTTCTCACACCTGTTAGTGCCCGCCTAGCTCATAAAGTTTCCCTCCATTTTAATTCCAAGGAACTTCTCTCAGTGGTTGTCCTTTGGGTCGAGTCGTTGTCTCGTATCCTGGTCTTGCTGTAGAGCACCCATTTGTTTTAAGTGTTTTCACCTATAGTCAAGATTCCTCATCTACACCGGACACCTCAGACAACTCATCGGACACTTCAGACAATTCTTCTGAACTCTGAACACACTTGAGGTATCTTTTCCTTCTCTCTCCTTCAATCTTAACAAGATATCTCTTGCATTTATATCAAGAGATAATCCTACAAGGGAGTCTCTTTTGGACAAACATCTCACTTGCACATTGAGTCTTAAGGTAACACCTTTTGTATAGCCCACCAGGAATCAACTCTTTACACCAATGTGATTGATGTGACAGTGCGACTTCGGGTTGCTTACCACAGAGACCGATGTGATTGATGCAACAGCACAACATTCAACATTCATGTATGCTATTTAACTAACCACAGATCCTGACACAATTGACATGACAGCACAACATTTAACATTCATGTATGCTATTTCACATTGGCTTACTTACCACAGACACTGTGACTTTGTCTTGCTATTCTCATTTAGCAGTCATGTATGCTATTTCACATTAGCTTATTTACCACAGATACTGATGCGACTGCGCAACATAGGCTTACTTGTCATAAATACTAACACGACCGCATGACATAGGCTTACTTATCATAGATACTGAACGTGACATAGGCTTGCCTGTTCGCGCGACCGCGTGACATAGGCTTACTTGTCATATATACTGAAAGCGACCGCGCGACATAGGCTTACTTATCACAGGTACTGAACGCGACATAGGCTTACATCACATATTACAGTGACCTATTTCCATATAATATGAGGGAACGGACATGCATAATATCCCGTATGATACGGGCCAGCAGACCATGGGCCCATGATAAAAATATCCTCGACTATGATGGATGGGCCGGGAGGCAAATTATTCCCGATGGAGGCGGGTGGGCCCATGCAGGGGATATATAGAGTAGATGAGTGGGCCGATGTACATGAATATTAGGTAGACGGGTGGGCTGAGGTAGTTGGATATTATGCAGATGGGTGTATTAAGGTAGATGTGTATGAGATAGATGGGTAGGTACTTGTTATCACATTCACGGGTGGGCCGAGGGTGGTATAAAATATAGATGGGTGGGCCCATGTGTATCATAATTGTAAACACGATGGAGCTGAGGTAGTTGTACATCAACCAAATCAGAGGAGGTAATAAAATCAAAGTTACCAAGTTCCTGGAGCAGCAGGTGATCTCCTGACATGGCCTTTGATGGTGCACAGGTTGTCTTGCAAAATTTGGAATCCGGGGTGCGAAGCTTGTGTTACCCTATGAGAAGCCAAGTTCCGATTACCAACCTTTGGGTCAACCGTACTCAGAGGAGGTAATAAATCAAAGTTCCCGAGTTCCCGGAGCAGCAGGTGATCTCCTGACATGGCCTTTGATGGTGCACAGGTTGTCTTGCAGAATTTGGAATCCAGGGTGTGAAGCTTGTGTTGCCCTATGAGACGCCAAGTTCCGACCACCCAAATTTGGGTCAACCGTACCGACTTCCAAGTTCCAGGACCCGGGAGTCGACAAATGAATATCTGATAACCAGCACACTTCCAATCAGGTAGTA